GTTTGAATGTCACGATGCACCAATAAGTGGGCATCGAGGCCGTGAGAAAACTTACCTCACGATTAGTCGCGACTTTTACTGGCCACGCCAGTATAAGTTTGTGCGCAAGTACGTGCGTGCTTGCGAGGCGTGTCAACGAGTGAAGCCTAGTCCTTCACTCCGTGCACCATTGCAGCCTCTACCTGTTCCGGCAGAGTGATGGGAGTCCGTATCAATGGACTTCGTCTTTGGGTTTCCCAAAGACGCTCACGGGAATAATGGTATTCTCGTGTTTGTAGACAGGTTCAGCAAGATGGTACATCTTGTTGCTGTACCTGAATCGATCACAGCAGAGGGCTGTGCTCGAGTGTTTATCGATACAATCTTTCGATTGCACGGTTTACCCCGTGAACTTGTGTCCGATAGGGACCCCCGGTTCACGGCTGAGTTTTGGCGTTCCGTGTTCCAAACACTTGGAACACGGCTCACAATGTCTCTTTCTGACCATCCCGAAACTGATGGTCAGACTGAACGCGCCAATCGCGTCCTCGAAGAGATTCTTCGAGGGTACGTCCACTCGTTTACGAGTTGGAGTGAGTTCTTGTCGATGGTCGAATTCGCCATCAACAACTCCGTGCATGCCTCCACGACGCATACACCGTTCTACGTGAATGGCCTTCGCCATCCACGTTTCCCCACCTTGGTAGAGGGTGACTCTAATTTAAGGGGGGGAAGACTCGCTCGAGCGAGAACCAATCTGGCTCTTGCTCATCACGCGACGACGTTATGGTCGACGCGAAAGTAACCGAAGTCGTACCATTCTACTTCGGTGAAGAGGAAGAAAGTAAGAGCGATGACGCTCTTACTGATAACGATGCTGAAGATGTCAGCATCGTTCGAGGTATCACAAGTGAGAACAGTATTGTTCTCGCTGAATTAGTAACCGATATCTCTGCAGTGCACTCACAATGCACTGCAGCCAAAAGCAACGAATCAGCTAAGGATTTCTGCTGACTTGATAAGCGGTAGTCCGGTTTCGTGCAAAACTCCATCTCCGAAGCGGCGTATAAGCAGAATCGCCACGTCGACAATAATGGGAGGGAAATGCTTAAACATTTATTGGAGGTGATTTAGTTTTACTGTCAACAATAAATCTACCTAAATATGTAGTGACTAACGTGGGCAGCAATAAATTGTTGCCCAAATACATCGGCCCGTTTCGTGTATTGCGCCGCCTAGGCAACGCATACACGATCGAGTTGCCACGCAGGATGCGTACGCATCCTACGTTTTACGTGGGACGTCTTCGTCCGTACGTTCAGTACGCGGCTTCTTCGAACGACGAAGATAGCCATTACTCTCAAGAATCCCTTTCAGATTCTTGTTGTCACGAACCAGATTCGATACCTGGTCGTGTAGAGATGAGATCGTCCCATGATACTGGACGATCTCCTGACGAGCTGTCGCCAGCTCGTTACTTAAAATATGAAGCTGCCGTTCATTCTCCTATAGTGCGACAACATTGTTTGCCCGAGACTTCTCATGGTCAAACCCAAGCTGTCTCACAATGTCCTCTAAGCAACGACGCTTATCCCGTTAGTGAATAACATCACAACGGAGCTCACAAGTTACACGGGCAAACCCGTCTAACTCAGCAGCCAAGTCCGATGAAAGAATTGGACAGGGTTTTTCCTCCACCACCGCATCCGCTGGTGGACTCCCATGGTGGGAAGCGCTTCCTCGTGGAACGCTTACTAAAGCACCGCAAGGTGAAGGGACGTCGGACGAATTATCTCGTCCGGTGGCGTGGCTATCCGCCTTCGGCGGATAGCTGGGAACCTCGGGCCCAACTGATGGCCGACGTTCCCGGCCTTGTCGAACAGTACGACAAGGGGCACCCGATGGTGAATACACCATCGGAAAACGAGCGCCCAGCGCGCTCGTAAAGGGATTGCAAAGCAATCCCTTCACGCATTTATGAAGAGATGCGAGCTCTCCACCAGGGCTCAGTAAGGAGGTACGCCTCCTTAGGCGCTCTTGACGAGGTGCTCAGGCACCCCGGGAATGGGTCGCCTCAAGAGAGGCATAAAAGGCCTGCCTCTCTAGATAACCGGTGCAAACGATAGCATGCACCGGACGTACTTCGTTTCTCAAACTTATTGCGGCTAGCAAAAAGTCTTTGAAACCAATCCTCTTTCCCAGCATTTAAAACGTTGGTGATAAACGCGTTCCAAGATTGGAGGAACGCGTCAGCCTCACGCTTCTTGTGTGGGTTATACCATCGATGTTCAAGGAACATATCGATGTAATAATCGTTCTCAGTGCGAAAGTTCTTCGCACTGGCGTCAAGGCCATGAAGCTTTGACGCATTAAACAACGGTATGGGGAACCGTTCGTTGGTCTTTCCAGACCAACGATCAAGCAGATGCTTAGATGCTTGCGATCAGGAGCAAGGCGCAATACGTTGCGGTCAAAGCCTCCTGCGTGGTGTCAACAGAAGTACCGACTCTATGATTATTGATGTCAGTAGAAGCACTGACATCACCCTTACGGTCCCCACCCGAGTCACTATCCTTCGACTCGTTTGGCGAGTCGTCTGATTCATCAGACTACCCGAACATTTCACGGTACATTGATTCACTCAATGTACAACGATCCCTCTTCGTAACATTCGACGACGAGTTATCACCCCGGGAAGAGCCCAAGGGTGGAACAGGTGACTTTGAGCCGGATGCGTCATCCGACTCACCAGAGAAGTCAACGACTAACTCTGGGTCAACATCTTCACGTGGCTAAGCGCTACGTGAACCTGCAACAGGCGTTGCAGGCTGATGTTGACTTCCAGCAGACACATAAGTGTCTGCTGGCTGAGGCTGTGAAGCCCGCAGCTAAGAGCTCGGCTGCACAGGCGTGCAGCCGAGCTCTTAGCTGCCTTAGCAGGGACGCGCATTGACTTTGTCATAGCGTAAAATTGTTGAATAAAAGAAAACCCAACAAGTGCTCCTTTCCCATAGTCACCAAACAGTCACTAATGTGACTCTTGGTTGAGGGGGGGGGTGATGTAACGGGGTTAGCCCGTTACATAATATTGACACTTATATGAAGTGTCAATAAAATTATTATTATAAATAATAATATTTGACAATATTACCTTTTCTTATAATATTGTTCCTAGATCTTCTTGAAGTTGGAGATGCCATCTCATTGGTTGATATGGGCCATCATATCAACCAACGCGCTGACCAATGACCGATGAACGCGCGCAATGAGTGGAGAGCAAGTTGTCAACATACATAGTTGTAGTTTAATATAGTTAACATAGGTTATAACAGATTAGTTCTATTAGATAGTTAACTATATTAAATACAGTTTTCTTTTCCTCTACTTCTAAGCGTATCGTTTAATAGTAAAGCTTCCTCTGCCTCTTGTGTAAGAGAGGTAATTGAGGCACCTGCTTTCACTGTAATCAGTGAAAGTAGACTATACTGTAATCAGTATAGTCGGAGGGTGTCCCATTACACTTAGAAGCTCGTTGCACTCTCGCTAAAGCGAGAGGCAACTGGTGGTACAACTGCGTAAGCAGTCGACCAACCACACAACCACCCTCGCACGCGAAGGTAAGACGGTCTAACCGCTTCCTCGCTTGTGTGCTAGCAGTACGAGGCAACTTCGTAATAAGTGCCCTTCTACATGCCTCGTGCTACTTAGCACACACCTTTAGCACAAGCGAGGAAGCGGTTAGACCGTCTTACTTCGCGTGCGAGGGTGGTTGTGTGGTTGGTCGACTGCTTACGCAGTCGTACCACCAGTTACCTCTCGCTTTAGCGAGAGTGCAACGAATTTCTAAGACAAGAAGTCACCGGCGTCACGCAGAAGCTTTTTCAGCTTCTCGTGCGTGGTGCTTTGGTGTTTAGAAAATTCAAGACTGAGCTATATTTAATGAATCATAACTAAATATATACTTAACTACTGATTGGCTATATATATATATATATAGATCGGATACGCGACTCTTTAGAGCGTATCCTGTCGCATGAGCTTAAATGTAGATTTAAGATCGCAACTGACGTCTTTCTGAGACGTCGCGATGCCTAGCTTCAATTAGCGTCATCCCTTCTCATGTGAATCCATCAATGGATATCACATTCACGAGGGTGGATCACATTTGTGTATCGCACCCAAGTGACAGGTCAAAAGTAATCATATGTACTTTAAAACCAAACATTAAGTATATTACTTAATGTTTACGTGTAACTAGATGCCCTGTTACAAGGCAGCTTCGAAGAAGTGCCCGTCTATAAAGCGCCCGTCTACAGGTGCAGGCGAGATCACATGCTTGGCAAACCCATCCAGATCCCACTTGTCGTCAGGCTCTTATTCTCTTCGCGCAAATACATAAATCCTGCGTTAGATGCATGGAACGTTGCATGGGCTTCACTAACATTCAAATCGGCATTTAGAATTGGTTTGTCTTGTAGGTCCAGTCCACTACAAACACAGTCAAGAATCGTTGAGCCAGTTCAATTGGTCGATAATGACTGAAAAACAGGCAAGTTACATGGCCGTGAACGTCAAAATCTACTTCAAAATGAAAACATTCCGATTGCAATATATCTAGCAAAGCTAGTATTGGAGTGCGTCCGGCCAGAAGCTCATTTCTAGCAGCAGACATTACATTGTATACATCTCAATTATGTTTGATCGCTTGTACAAGTGATAATGTGGAATTAAACGTTGCCTCAGTGAGTTCATCGACAATGGCTTGTGGTGCGATGTGTTGTTCCATTTGAGGTATTGGGCGGGCGGAGTTTGTGAGAAGTAAAGTACTTTTAGTTGATGCCTTATATAAAGGTGCCTTACCCTGTATACTTCTGAAGTATACATCTATAGACTATTTGCATATAGCCTAGTCTAGTCTATGTCGAACAAAGGAATTGTTGCACCCCTTCTTTTTTGGGGGGGGGGGGTGCAAACAAAAATCTCTTTCTTTTGTTATAAATTAGTCTGATCACAACGCAGTAATGTCTCCGTCCTTCGTGGATCTCCTCCCCGTCTCCGAGGAACGTCTGCCAGGCTTCGCCGTGGCCGTTTTCTTGCTCTATCTGTCGCTTCGCTCCCTTTTCAATGTGGACCGTGTACTCGCCAAGCTCTGGCCGTCGCTAGTGCTGCTCTTTTCCTACTACCGCTACCGACTGGTCATCACTAGCTTTTCCTCCTCTTTGTTGCTCAAGCTTTGGACTACAGCACATGAGCACAGTCCTATAATTGAAGCTGTCCTGAGTGACACACTCGCCCTGGTCTTGGCTGTCTCAGCGTTCTCCTCAGTCGTAGAGACCGTGCGCCGTTTGCGCTACGTATCCCGTAAGAAGCTTCTAAATGTCGTGGGAGGGGCACTGCATGATGTTTTCAAGCAGCTTCCTATTGTGTCCACTAAAATATCAGCAGAGATGAAGAAGATTGAAGAAGAGGTGGAGCACTCGCTCAAAGGCAACAATCCACTTGGTGACAAGATGGAGAAGTTTTACACTCTCCCAGAGAAGGGAATGGGCGACGAGAAACTGCTGGATCTCATGAAGAATCTGGCAGGCAATGATGACGACAAGTGGAAAGAAGGACTTGTGTCTGGAGCGGTGTACCATGGAGAGAAGGAGCATTTAGACGTGCTGAATAAAGCCTACGCTCTATTTGCAGTATCTAACCCACTTCATGCCGACTTGTGGCCAGCGGTGAATAAGTTTGAAGCAGAGGTGATTTCTATGACGGCGGGGCTGATGAATGGAGGCCACTCGGAGGTATGTGGCACACTCAGTTCCGGCGGTACAGAGAGTATCTTTCTTGCGTCTAAGGCACATCGCGAATACTACCGCCACAAACACGGGATTACTAAGCCAGAGATTATTGCTTGTGTCACGGCCCATGCTGCTATTGACAAGGCCTGTGAGATCTTGGGAATTAAGCTGATTAAGGTGCCAATGGACCCTAAAACGCTCAAGATCGACTTAGACGCAGTGCGCTGGAGCATTTCGTCCAACACAATTTTGCTCTACAGTAGCGCACCAAACTTTCCACATGGGATGATCGACGATATTGAAGCACTCTCGAAGCTTGCTGTTCAGAATGATGTCGGGCTCCACGTTGACTGCTGTCTTGGTGGATTTGTGCTGCCTTTCGCACGCAAATTGCGCCAGGATATCCCTGTCTTCGATTTTTCACTGCCAGGAGTGACCAGCATGTCGTGCGATACACATAAGTACGGCTACGGCTCAAAAGGGACGTCTGTGGTGTTGTACAAGAACTCCACAATTCGGCGATTTCAGTACTTTACGTACCCAGATTGGACGGGCGGACTCTACGTGACACCTACTCTTGCAGGTAGCCGTCCCGGTGCACTGAGCGCTGCAGCTTGGGCTTCGATGGTACGTCTTGGTTACGAAGGCTACCTTGAAAAAACCAAGGGCATTTTGGACACGGTGGACGAGATAAAGGCGGGCATCCAGCGTATTGATGGTATCCACGTACTGGGTGATCCAAAAGCGATGGTGGTGAGTTTCGCTGGCGACAAGGGAGTAAATGCCCTTAAGGTTAGCGACGCGATGGCGAAGCATGGATGGAGTCTTAATCCGCTACAGCACCCGATATCTGTGCACTTGTGCGTTACTGTTCGCCACATTGGTAAGGCGAAGAAGTTTTTGGACGCACTTGAGGCAGCCGTGAACCTCGTAAAGGAAGACCTTAACCCGTCACCAGAAGGTGGCAGTGCCATCTATGGCATGGCCTCGAGCTTGCCAGCTGGGCCTGTGGAAGATCTTCTGCGTATCTACACGGATATCACGCTAAAGGTTTAGTCGGAATCGCATCGTAGGCTTTTGGCACTGAGTAGTTTGATACCCGTAACCGAACAAAGCTGACCAAAAAAAGCCATATCAATTGAACAAACTTGAAAACGTATATCCGCAAAGAGCAGCCCAACGACAAGGCATAGTCGGTAGAAAACAGCTTCATTCCAGTACCTATTGTTGTTTCCTTTATCTTCTGCAGAGTTACCAACATTTCAGCGATAGTGGTGTTCCCTTAGTTTTTAAAATAACTCAACGAAGAACGTGCATTTCATTGAAACGCCATGACTGATCATCATGCAAATACCTTTACATGTCGCCAACGTTATCCATACGGTTCCACCAGTTCGTAACATACCAATAATCACTCAGCATGTAAACGAAGCTGGCCAGAAAAAAACGGCAATTTAGGCACGTTTTTCTGTAGCTTGTTTAGCCGACCTTTATGTGCAACTTTATCGGTTCGAACCCTTTTTAATGTCGTCGTATTGTCGACATCGACACTTTTATTCTCGACATTACATCCTCGATTTTGTGGATAAATTTACAATATCCAGTACGTAACGTCGAGAAACATTATAGGTACATGGAGGCCAAAAAATAGACAAACGATCGTCGACGCTGAGTGATGGATCATGTTTTTTCATGTCTGGCGTAGCATTGGCTGCGAATGTACAGAGTATGCTGCGTAGGTGGCACCGTCTCACATCGACACCATGCTGTCGGCATACGCATAAAGAAGTGATTTGCGGCCTCGCGAATTAACCCTGGAGCACTACCGACCTTCTCTACGCAGACCCATTGCAAACGACACCTGAATACGTTTGTGGTGTCCCCACTCTACTGATGTCGCTGTATAGGCAACTGCGGTGCTTTGGGAATATATACAAGCTCCACCAAAGTATTGCTGCTCTTGTTTAACGTTTAACGATATAAGAAATTGTAATTGCCTTATGTAAGTTTGCGCTGTTTTACAGGCAGGATAGCGGTTTGTGCGAAAGCTCAGCCCTTTTGAACAGTTCAGCTCGTAGACTAATCACCCTGGCCGTCCATAATGCTGTTTGACCAAAGGTCAAGCTTTGTGTGAGTGTTGTGGCACCGCTTAAGCAGTCGAAACCCATCATGACGGTCAAAATTATGCCGACAATTCTATGATTTGAAATCGTCCGAATGGGAGATCTCTTGTGCGTTTTATAACGGGCTGATTAGGCTTAGGAAGTTTAATTATAGTACAGTAAAATACTTCCTAATAGGAAATATTGCTATACAGCAAACTTACCTGAAGTGATACCGTTGGAACCGAAGGCATCTATCAGTAAAGACATGTTACCAGTTCAGGATGCTCTACAATAGACTGGTTCTGGGACCGGAAGTATATACCAGTTAAGAGAAAATGTCTGTCAAGGCAGGATCACTTTGGCAACTTTATTTGTAACATGCATATAACCCTATCGAACATTTCCGACAGACAACGGAAAAATTGCCGGCAACTATATGGTAAATGATTTTTTGATGTATCTTGGACTAATCGAGCTAGAATGTGGAAGGAAGGTGGCCTGTTTCGACTTATCAAAACAGGAATCAAATAAATTGAATGACAACAAAAATGAGCTTATACAGATATACTTGTCTAAAAAGATACTGCCTTGACTAATAACTTCTCTTTTCACACTCTATATACATAGCGTTACTGCACCTTTTCAGTGACTAGCAGGCAGGTAGCACCTATTACCCTACCCCTCGAGCTACTTTTGGAGTTGACGATACAGTTAAAATGATATCCTTGGGACCATTTGCATCTATCCGATAAGACCACTTATTCGTTAAGGAAGTCTATCTATAGGACAATTCTAATGTATGGGGCACCGGAATTATTCAGCAGCTAAGAAAAGCTATCGGTTTGATCAGGATCACTTTTTTAGTGATCGAATCTGGTCAGTTTCTGTCCAAGGCAACAACATGGCGGGGAACTTTTAAGGCGAATTGATGGGGTTCACGTCGCATCCTGCTTTATTGTACACGTTCTGGTACCTGTACGGCCACTTGCTGTGACCCCGCGTGTTCTGCCACGAATTCTTTTCTCGTGACAGTTCACTACAAGGTCCAAGTAAGCCTGTCTGCTGGAAGGAGACGGCAGAGGTGGACGTGATGTACAATAGCCGAACTGTGTAAGGCATGACTGTATTTATATTTTTGTATACTTGAGGACAATTGTTTGAATACTGTATCTATTTAGATGAACTTTTGTTGTGATATACAGGAATCAATGGTGACGTTTTTAAGGTACCAAAAGTAGACTTGTACTGATAGTACCTGCTCTTACGGAGAAATATCGTGCTTCACGGCTAACCAAAGATATTTGCAGCAATCGAGTCTGTCGACATTATTTACACACACTCACTCCTTCCGCTGCTTGGAAACCCTGTGCAAAGTCAGCAGGCAGTCGCGATCACTGCCGTCACCGCCTTCTTACCGTGACAGCACGTAAATCTTCTTTCCAGGTACTTCCAGTCTCTCCGCCAACGCGATGCGCACCGTGTCGATTGTGCAGCGAAGGTTGGACGTGGCCACGACAGAATGAGCTTTCTATCCGAAGCGGCGAGTGGTGGCGTACCGCTGCTGGCGACATTTAAATCTGCTTTGTCGCTGTCGCTGCTCCTTTGTGCGACGTCTCGTCAAACGTGGTCCTCTAGTTATTTTCACAGACGAGGCCTTTGACGAAGAGATGCACGTCGACTCCGCGACAAGTCCAAGAACAACGAGTCGCCTGTAAGCAACAGTAGCCATTTGCGCGTAGGTACTCGCACTACGAGCAGTGAGTGGACTACTAATAAAAAAAGGATTACTAGTGGAGTCGACGGTATCACTATTGTTTAGAGAAGTCGAGAACAATTAGCAATCTTTAAATTTCTCTTTGAATGCTAGACGCCCTTCCACATAGAACACATCCTACGAGTAAAACGAAGTGCGCCGACCCGAAAACGTAACAATAGCTAGAAAACGACGGAGATCTTACGGATGTGATAAAGAAAACAGAACTAGTGGGTAGCAAATTACTGCCCACGAGTTCTGTCTTCCTCATCACAACCAAGGTTAAAGAAGCAAGTTTAGTCCATTGTGCTAAACACTGCTCGCTCCGCTTCATCACAACAAAGGTTAAATTTAGCGACTAATGATTACAACCTCGCGCTTTGTTTAGCGCAAGGCTGATAATGAGTTCTGCCAATTTGCCCTAGTGTGCGTGATGAATAGACCACGTGCTACAAAAAAATTTGGTCATGGTGAAGGTTAACTACTGGCACCTGCCATTTTGAAGCCCTGTCACTTTCTACATACCGCAGTACATGTATCATGAAAGTAATCGCGAGTGTAATAACTATTCCACCATCGCTATCCACTGACCAGCAATACTATATAATTGTAACAATACATGCATCGTGGCGCCACGCAAGGCCTGTCCTTCTCAGCTTTATTTAGCAGATCAAATGGATCATTCTGCAAAGCGTAGGCGAACCTCTGGCTAGAAATTCTTGTAGCGTGCGATGAGGGTTGACAGAGTTTGCAATAAAAACTATCACTGTAGTAGCGTTTCTCAAGGGACGTATTTGTTTGACGCGAAGTCTCAGGCACAATGTGTACATTATGAAGTTTGAGAAAAATGGTCTCGTACCGTCTTGATAGTTTATGTCGTGCTTTCCATTGCCGTCACCATCGCTCCCAGCTGTTGATTAGGAACACCTAACCAAAAGAGCGAGACCTCTGATCGCTGGTCAAAGGAGGTCCGTCATGAAATTTTAGTACTGATCATACCACGAAACCTACCAGTCCCATCCCGTACTCAATCCCTTTCATCACGTCGTAGGCTTTGCCGTCGTATGTAGGCACTGGCTTTATACATTTAAACATTGTCGTTGGCCGCCGAAAACAGGCTATTGGCCATCCCATTCGACGTTTTCCCTCCCTCAACGCAAGCGATTCTGCTTTCTTCCTTAGTGTCTTTGAAACTGTACATCAAAAGAGTCCATAAAGTGCATACATGGTGCTTCGAGCGGTCAAATGGGCAGTTCAAGCAGCACTGCTCCTGCAGGTCTTGCAATATAGCGCATCAGTTAATGGAATCGACGTAAATTTTGAATCTCTTGAAGGGGAAAAAGAGGAGCGGTCTGAAGACGACATGGAAATTGCGCCGTTATCCCCAGGGCCCTTCAATCCACGAATGTCTACTGCGAGTTTAATAAGCGGGCATGAAGACTATCTAACAAAAATGGGCGTTGATATTTCTCCTTACTCATCGACGGGCGACTCGAAGGCATCTGATCCTCCGTCAGCGTCGCCTGCGGATAAAAAAAAGAATAGTGATACTACTAAAAAGCTTAGTGATTCAGACGACACTGGAAATGAAGACACTGACGACTCTACAGGAGGAGATAATGGATTTGCCAGTCTGCTCAGTGGCTTAAACGGCGGTTCTAAAGGTAAAAACAATGACGATGCCAGTCTGCTTGGTGGCTTAGGCGGATCTAAAGGTGGAGCCAATGCGCTTAGCACTATGCTCGGTGGCAAAGGCGGCTCTGGTGATATGCCTAGCTTTTCAGAATTTTTTTCAAAGATGGCGCCTAGCCTTGGTAGTGGTGATATGGGTGGCTTGGGTGCTTTGTTTGGCATGGTAGACCCGACTGAACCGCAAAACATAACAGTCAATGACGGGGACATCATTTATGGTAAAATGTACGGCAGTGAGGAACACGGTGATGCCTTCTCGGACGTCAATAACATTAAGTTTGGACAGGCTATTGTGAACATCACTATTCGTGGCGCTGCTCGAGTGGATTCATTTGGGATTATGCCGATGACTAAGGAAACTGTTGCAGTTATGGTTCACGGCGGTACTGGCGGAGGCCTGGCTTTTATTGATCCGGATCCAGGTAACACCATCGATTCGGTCGAAGTGCACTGGCAAAAGCACAATGGTAAAACGTGCATATTTTACCTTGAGGTGATCACAAGTGATGGCCAGACGCTGTCCGCTGGAACAAAAACTGTCAACTCTGCTATAATAAAGCCCCCGAAGGACTTTGAAATTGCCGGATTTCATGGCCGTGCGACTACTGATGGTATCTACGGTATTGGCGCCATTTTCACGAGGGTGGGAGTTAAAGATGTGGCAGTCACAGATGTGATGGCTGTCTCGGACAAGGAATCTCGTAATATATACCATTACAAGACGACCATTCGTAACTGGGTGGGTCCCCATGATGAAGTCATAGGCGGTGGTTGCTACATGAAGAGGCATAATGTCAACAGCAAGAAAATGTGTCCTTCTGGTTACCGGCAGGATGGTGATAAGTGTATTACTCAATGCCCGCTTAACTACCCCATTGATTGTTATCTGGAATGCATTCCTCAGAATACTGATTGCACGCAGGCGGTTCTTGGAAAGGCTTCATCTGTGATTTCTGTGGCTCTAAACTTTGCTACAATGGGTGTTTTTGGTGCTATGCTGGGACTTTACAAAAAAGCGAATTTCGTTGTGATGTGTGCTATCTCCATTGTAAACGCTATTAAGTCGCTTGCCTTCTACCTACGCTATAGACAACATCAGATTGCTCATACCGACCTAGAGAAGCTGATGGACAAGGTATTCCAGTTGCAGATTGTCGTAATGGATTTACCCATGGCTTTGTGCGCGTGCACTGGCCTAAAGATTCCAGACAAGTTGATGTTTTCGTCCTCGATTGTAATTATTGTATCTACAGTTGTGCTGATGGTGTTACTGCTTGGTGAAGCGCTTTTCAAATCAAAGGATAACTTATTGATGATGTTGCGTGAGTCGGGTGCGATGAATCACACTGTTTTAGAGCGGGATATCGTGGAGCTTGACGATTTTCTTCACAAGCAGAATACCTCCTGCGGTTTTGAGATACAGACTCTCACGAACCGTGTCATAGGAAAGGTCAAAGAAATCCGCGCCGCCACCCCGGATGCGGATGAGGACGATGTGCGCGTCGAGGTGAGCAAATCACCCATGATGACGGAGGATGTTCCTATCATCACGAACCATTGTATGGGCGAAGTTTGGAAAACCCACACGAGTGCGTCTGCCTACACTACGCGAAACTTGCTTCGTAAGACCCTTAATGTCATTATCGAGCAGTTGATTAAAGATGGCACGACCGACATGGCCAAGCATGTGCGTAGGAAGGAGCAAGCGCTTTCTATCTCGAATCAGGGTCTTTTCTTTTTGTCCATGTTGGATCCTACGGGTATTGCCTGGATGGCCTCCGAGTTTGTCCAGCCTATCTGTGGCCCCACTGAATTTCTTGGCGAGATTGATGACGGTTATCTGCACGAAGCTCTGGGTCTTGAAACCGTTGACATGGCGTTTGAAGGGAGCTACGGCATTTGGAAAAAGGAGGGGGATGGCTCCGTCATTGTATACTTCGAGAGTTTTGACAAGTTTGATGTGGATGTGATTATCTACTCTGCTGGTCAAAAGATTAATGAGGTGAAGGTGCCTTCTCGTGGCAAAATTACGTGGACTGCCACTGTCAAGGAATTGGAAGACAAGACTCTTTACATGGACCGTTGGCGTCCTGGTCTTTTCGGACTTCCGGGTTCTGGTGGTGGCTCATTGCTTTTGTGGGTTCCGCGGACGTCACTTGGCGGCCACCTTGTCTTGCATGCCCGCATTAATGTAAGCTAAGGGAAATTGCAATGGCGTTTAGCGTCGTGAACACTGCTCGGAAGTTATGAGCAAGTTGTTTACATGTTTAAAGAAATGCATTCGTTTATTTGCACTTTGTTTTGAGGTACATACATGTATCCTGCCTTTCACTTTCAATCATCATTTTCCTATCTACTTAAGAGGTGCTCTCGGTTCACTAAGAAGCTCCAAAGTCGAGCCAAGAGCTGCTTCTAGAACCGTGTAGTTGTTCTCAATGGAATGCAATCCAGCTTTAGCATTGTGGCGTGATGTTGTTTCTTCGATTTTCCTGTGAAGTCTCTTGCTAATACGCACCAGACCCTCCCAGATACCGCAATAAACACTTTTAGTGCAAATGCCTGTTTCGTTGCCCTGTTCGGGGGAAAGCAAAAACATGTAAGCAGGCTGCATAAACCATTTGAGCTGAAGCATTAACTAACCTTGTCACAGACGTATAAAAACCGCACGAGACTTAAACAGCTTGCTAGCAGATCAGTCTGCAAAACAAGGTCGCGTTCTTCTGTTTGGCTTAAGACATCTTGTATCAACAAGCAGATTGCTGCCGTCTTGAAAGCTGCAAACAAGAAGAGGTGGGTTGGGATCAGTCGGATGTGTGTGAAAGAAACAAAACACCATTTGAATTGGAACGCACGGTATTTTTCGCTTGAATCGGAGGAAGACCATGCTTGGACTGCATCCTCACGAACAAAATCAACCAGCACGGCGGACACATTGCCATATGGACATTTCATGATCAGGCCACGTAGCAGCCTAAATCTGGCAATACCAAGAAGTAGCAATAGAAGTTAGCAAATAACAAAGAGAGCTAATGAGTAGAATATTAAAACAACAATGTTAGCGTTACCGATCATCTCCTACGAGCTTGGAGATCAGCTCTTTTAGGACTTTCAGCGCTGTAGATCGGTCTTTGGCCTCACGAAAAGATATCATTGCGTTCGTAATGACATGAATCAAAGGAGAGAGCCATTCTTTTGCACGAAATGCTATGGACAAGCAAGGCAATACCATTAATGCCTACTCAAGTGCGTAGTATCAGAGATGTTAACTTACGCGCAACGTGATCTACGAACGATTGTGGCTTCTCTCGCATAGCTTCGCTCCCCTTCTTAACAAAAATGATAAGCTTTCCTTGGGGGCATAGGTCGTCTACCGCTCGCAGCAAACCAAGTCCACGAATGCAATCCTACAGAACACGCATAAACACGATATGTTACTCTTGAAAAGCTACGTCAAAAACACAGCGAGCGTACCTGGTGATCTTTCGAACAAATCATGTAGTGGGCATATGCAGTAACGTGAAAGAGCCATGAAAACGGTGACACCACCACTGGTAGCGTACTTAATTCGTCCATCATTAGCGCATGTATGAAATTGCCAATTCCCTGATTCGACCACGAAGAAAACGCGTGCTTGTGCAACGACATCTGCAAAAATCGCCGATACTTTGTCAACCCCCACATGTTGGCCACGCGGTCGACAATCCATTGAATGTCTTCCATAGCAAACTCTCTCATTTCTTCTTCTTCCTCATCCAACTCTACCTCTGATTCCGTCTCGGAATCGCTTTCGTATGACGGCAGTAATACTCGACGACATTCCACCAGCTTTTCTCGAAATCGAAGTGTAGTTAGTATAACGTGAACGTCGACGTCACACCTTAAAATATCCGCAACAAGTCTTGACTTTAACTCCTTCGAACCTAGATTTCCAGTAAGTTTTGCAAACAAATGCAACAAAGCAGCCACCAGCACGCCCTGTTGATGTGTGGCTTCTTGTTCATCGCCCATAACATTAGCAATTGACATTGTCGAATGTATTAAGGGCTCGATGAATTGAAGATACAACTTGACAGCCTTTGTTGTCGAAATCGCAGGATTTTGACGGTCGGAATCTTCAAGTTCTTCATCTTGACCCTTCGAGATCAGCCCGAAAACATGATATAGAACAACGGAGCATGCATCTTCCAGGAACCTCCAGCGTTTGCGATGGATATCCTTTAGAGCTATAAAACACAAGTGATACGTTATAAAAACCGTTTTTTTACACGAAACGATGGCATTATCATACTTTACCATTATAAATAATAGAGAATTGAGCACAAAGACTGTTTACTGATGTCTTAGTCTGGAGTTCCACAAGAGCTTCTAAAAGCTCTTCCTTTCCCATGTTTAACGTTAAAAGTACTTTAGAACCAATAAATGTACTTCGTACTTTACAATGGCCAATTCAACCATGGCTACAGTCATGTTCAAGTTAAGCCGCCATGGCCGCTGGATAGTTTGTGCTGAAGTGGCAAGCGTCCAGGTCCCGTCAATACTATCGCAAGCGTTATTGGCATAACTCGAGCTTAACCTCGTTGCCCATGGTGAATCGTGCAAAAAAAAGATGAGCAGGAAGTCCGAGCTTTGCTCACTTTACCACTCGATATACATGCGATCGGTGATGGATTCGAATTGAAGCATGACGGGTGCACAGTCTTCCTTCATGAGGTTGTGTAGGGAATTCAACGAGTTCTCTTTCAGCTCGAGTGTGCTGGAAATTGTCGCTTTGTCTATTAGCTGACAGTAGCGTCGACACAAAGCAGCTGCAATATGCTACAGATTCCGTAAAAGCTTCTTCTTCAGTATTCTCACTCTTTCAGCTTCTGCCTGCTCATTTTTTTCAAGCCTCGGTGCTGGCTTGAATGCAAACCTTGTGAAGCGCTCTATGATGGCACGAGCTTGTCGACACAATCGGAGAAGAAGCGATCTGTAACTCAATAGAATTGTTTGCATAGCTTTCAATATTTGCGATCGCGAATTGCTATAGTATGATGCCATTCGAACTCTACCACCTGATCTATAGACCCTTTCAAAGCCTTCTTTGTCAATGAAGATACCGCGATGCTCTAACTTGAAAAGCACTCCATCATGGTTGCGAAAAACACGAGCTGCAACCGCAAAGTCGACAAGGTCGGTTCAAACTAACTGCTTTCTTGTAGCAAAACAAATTCACCCCCAACAAGTTGTGCAGTTTGACAACTGAAGAGTCCCGCGTTTGCGAAGGTATGATGATAGTTCTATGACAAGTCGAGAATAGCTTCATTTCGATATTGATCATTAATGATGGAGCCTCTACAAATACCCTCCCCAACCAAAGCAAATGAATCATTGCTATGGCCAGATTCATGCTGCAAAGCTCCAGCTAATGTCAGCAAATAATAAAGCGTGCGTTCTGACCGATCCACACATCATATTTGGGGCTACTGCAAATCTAACGGCCGAAGACTTTTTGCAAAAAACTGCATGATGATGTCAGTAACGACGCAATTATCTTCAGACAGCAAGAGTTCGATGTCAGTACATCGACCCAAGATCCATCGGCAACTTGGCAGTGAAACTATGAGTGGTAAGAGTCGATTTCCTGCGTTTGGAATTACTACGAAGGACGCAGAACTGCACGTCAAGAGCAATTAATGTTATGAGCGAAAGGTTATCACTAGCTTGAGCTTGTGAAGATACTGAAAACGTCAAATCCGTCACGAACAGCAAATTACACCTGCTTCCATCGCCTTCAATTTCACGTCAACCGAGCTCACTGTGCATGAATTCACCTCGCAAGAACCAAATTCATGCCTATTTCCTCTTAGTCACTAACTCTTGTAAAGTATTCTCACGGAAGCGGCTCTGATGCGTCACCAACACGCTTTAAGTGCAGGTAAGCATCCGTACCATGTCCCTCCATTGAAATCACCTGAAGATCTCCCCCAAAGTAGCGTGCAAAAAGTCGACTGATTGGCAACCCGTATCCCAGCCCAGCAAGCGGAGAGTCACCACCGAAATCATTGGGCGCCTCTAACCTCTCGAATGCTTCAGAGTCCGCCGTCGTGTAGAGATACGACCAAATCCTTGAAACCGATGAGCGTGGGATGCCTCCGCCTTCGTCCGAGACCTTGATTGACACATCTTCGTTGTCTTCTCCATCTGCAATCACAATCTTGATTGGAGGCATGTTGTTATCTACTCCGTGGAATTCAACAACCGCACGCATCGAATTCTTAATTACTTCAAAGAGCATGTGGTGGAGATGACTTGGCACAAACGGCATGGAAAAGTCCGTGTGGCCATGCAGCTCGACCTTAGGAGCATCTCCATACTGCCTTTGACACATGTATCTGGCCGTATCAATCGCTGCAAGAGCGATCTCCGCGGGGGACGTACTTTCACAAATACATCCAACCCAGCCTTCCTCTTCGTCGTGAAGTGCAATATGCTGACTCATAAGCATACGAATACCAATTCTTGACATATAGAAAGCATCTAAAAAGGAATGCAAATCTGATAAATCGGCAAATTCTTGAGATCTTAAATATCGTTCCCCCAATTCTTTTGTAGGAGGAATTCTTGGTCCTTTATTTTTTTTAGTAAAGGACTTGAATAATTCCATCTTGAGCTCATGAACTCCTTTTGCCATTGTGTATAAGGTACCACTATGACGTCCTTTGATACTTTCAATCAAAGAGCGGAATACCAATTCATCTTGATACGTTTCCACTTTGGGAAAGTTAAGAAGTTCTTGGGCTGAATTCATGTACCATTCACGTACTTGTTGAACTGATGGCATTTCACTTAATCCATGGGGTAAGTCTTCCAAGTTTTTAATACGATGTGCGTATCGTACGGGCATTTCCTCATGTAAAAAGCGAGCGGATCGGATCAATTTCTGCGGAGAAATGCCAGTCCCGAACTCGAGTAGGTATTGAAGAGACACACCCGTCTGAGGCAACTGTGCCAGCTCATTGATCTTGTCGGCGATGTTTTCGCTACTGATGTTAATAAGACTGGAAGCCTTACGACCGAACGGGATGCGATCTACCAGACGATACATTCTAGTGTCCATGACCTGATTCCAGTATTATTACTGAGGTATCGAGAAGTCGTATACAAATTGCACACTGGGAAAACATTCAAGCGACTTGAAACACTCAAGAGTGGACTTAAATTACTAATTAGACGCCGTTGGCTGTAAACACATAGAGTACATACTGAATCTAAGACGGATTAATCCGCACGTGCATGGTAATATGACCTCCCTCTGACGATCGAGGGATCCATAGTAATAGTGAGCCACCACCTGAGCCCGGTAAACCAAAGATACCTGGACGCCAACGATCCAAATACAAGGTCTTGTCTTCTAGTTCGGGAATAGCAGCATCCCATGAAGTGGTGTCACCCGCACCGACATCGACCTTTGCGTACTCATCTCCACCAGAGTGTATAACGACAGTCACATCTTTTGTGTCGACGCTTTCAAAGATGAGATTAATGACACCGTCACCCGCGTGTGTGTATGACCCATAGCTGCCTTTGAATGCCTCGTCCACAGTTTGAAGTCCCAACGCGTCGTATAGTGTTCCGTCGTCAATTTCACCGACGTACGCATTCGGTAAACACAAAGGTTGGACAAACTGTGAAGTCATGTACGCGATATAGGTAGGATCAAGAGCTGACAATGCAAGGAGACCCATATTGGCCACTTCCAGCATATACTCCTTATCGGCCACGTTTACACCTTTGTCCGTTTTACCAGTATCAATGAGCTGATCAACAATTACTCCAAATGTCTTTCGAAGGAGATCGCGCGTCTCGTACGCTGTCTCCTTAGTTTTGTCACGCAGTAATTCATTCATACAATTGTTCGTGACAATGGGGATATCATTTCGCACGATCGATGAATCGTACACCTTCACCCGAATATCATCGATGGAAGCACCTGTGCTACGATACTTGAGAACGGCGCGGGTGACACGATCAGTAAGACGCTTAAGCTCGTAGCCACAGCTTGTGTTCTTGGAGACCAGATCGTCCAGTTCATCCACCTTTATGGTTGTATCGTTTATCAATCCATTACCAGAGAGTAAGCTCATCACATTCGCTCCAGTCGAAATGATTTCGTCGGGCATGGTAACCACTGCCTTCAAGATACCTGCCACGACAGCAATTACATATTTTCCATATTTGGCGTTCGGGCTAATGGGCATCCTCAAGCAAGTCATTACAGCCACGGGGAGATCATACAGAACGAGCTCTGACTGGTAGGCGATGGTGAGCAACTCTTCTATATCACCTTGTGGTGCTGAAACTTGTCGATAACGGAGGTAGAATATGATGCCGTGAATCACTTCGTAAATGTTCTTAGCGCACATAACAGCCCACTTTGTGGTTTCGTAGGCTTTATAAATGCTGGTAAATACGCCAGCAGTGGCCACGTTTAGTGCCACAGCAACAACTGAGCCGGCTTTAGAGAGAATGTCGAGAGCACAGTCACCGTTCTGAGGAAGACACTCCGTCGCACACTCAACTGGGTACGCCAATGGACACTGGACGATGCAATTAGTATCTTCTTTGCCGTAGCCAAACGGACACATGTTGGCACTGTCGAAGGCAGTTGTCTTGCGGTAGCACGCTGTATCACTGGATTTGCCGATGGTGGGGCCTACCCAATTACGAATTGTTGTACCGTACGTGGTATTCCCCACACCAGACGGATCTGTAAGTAAAATGTTCTTTGCTGTCTTTCTGGTCCATATTACACCAAGTTGATCCACTTCACCTTCAGCGCGGCCGTAAAACCCGCTAAGAACAAAGCCTTCGGGGGCCGTCGCAGTGCCCTTTTGATCTGTTTGAGTTCCACCAGCAAGCCTATTGCCGGCACTAGTGGTGAAACATACATAGAATACTCGCGTTTGCCCGTTCTTCTTCGCCCAGTGAGCTTCGACGGACGTGATGACCTCATCTGGAGCGAGTGTAAGTGTCTTCTCGGTTCCACCATGACCGCCGTGATTGAAAGTCAATGGTAGAGGTGAAGTGATTTGCAGCGTCACGGCATCAACTCGCTCTGCCGATCGAATCGTAACAGAGCTGACTGTCTGCCCAAACTTGATCTTAGTAATGTCCGAGAATGCAATGCCGTGGGGGCCGCCAAATAACTCGCTAAGTGCAATGTCGTCATTTGCTGAGGGGAGAATGGTCTCGTTAACTGCTGCAATACTTGACCACACCGCACCCAAATGGTCAATTTCGTCGCCATCCCGACCAAAAAAGCCGGCAAGTTGGTAGCCCTCGGGCGCTGTTACCGATCCCTTTTCAGCCGTCTTCGTTCCACCGGAGACTGTTTTCCCTTTGCTCGTACCCAAGCTCAAGTAAAAGATACGCGTTTTACCATCTACTTGTTTCTTAGCCCAGTGCACCTCCATAGTCGTAATGTACTCACCTGGTTCGAGCGTAAGGGTGTTTTCCTTGCCACCGGTTCCGCCATGTGTGAATGTCATCTCCTTCGGTGCAGACACTCGAACCGTGAGACCGTCAAGACGCTTTGCCGCACGAATCGTGACGGAAGCGACGGTCATTCCAGAAATGACAGCGGGCTGATCAGAAAACTGTTCTCCGTGAGGCCCACCAAACGACTCACTCAATTGAACGGCTCTCTTGTTTGTCTTTGTCTTCACTTCCGACAAGCTTCCTGCTATATCATCTTCAGCAGCTGCGTCTGGCGAGTCTTCAACGGTAATTGGAGGTAGGACCGGCGTTGCCGCGGGTTTGACGAGATCAATATACGCCCAAACCGCTCCCAGCGCGTCAATCTCCTGGCCATCCTTGCCAAAAAAACCGGCCAACTGAAAGCCTTCGGGGGCTTTTACCGTTTTCTTATCACTTGTCATCGACCCCCCCGAAAGCGTGTTTCCCGCGCTCGTGAGGAAGCTCACGTAGAAAATTCGTGTATGACCATCTTTTTTGCCCCAGTGAACCTCCATCGAATTGATGTGCTCGTCCTTACCAAGCTGGAGTTCCTTCCGCTCTCCACCAGTACCGCCGTGGGTAAAAGTGAGGGGTTTGGGTGCTGAGTTTGTTAGCGTTATACCATCAAGACGCTTACCCGCGTATATAGCGATGGATTTGACGGTTTGGCCTGAATTGACTAAATTTTGGTCTGAAAAGTCTTTTCCGTGATCAGACGCGCCAAATCTCTCGCTTAAGACTATGGAATCTTTCACAGACATTGTTGGGGCTGCTGGGGGTGCTTTATGGTCTGGTGGTGGGGCTTTAGGATCTGATGGTGGCGGGGCTTTATTGTCTGGTGGGGGTGGGGCTTTATGATCTGGTGGTGGCGAGGCTTTATTGTCTGGTGGTGGGGCTTTAGGATCTGATGGTGGCGGGGCTTTATTGTCTGGTGATGGTGGGGCTTTATGGTCTGGTGATGGTGGAGCTTTATGGTCTGGTGGTGGCGGGGCTTTATGGTCCGGTGGTGGCGTTGGCTCGGGTTTGACGAGATCAATATACGCCCAAACCGCTCCCAGCGCGTCAATCTCCTGGCCATCCTTGCCAAAAAAACCGGCCAACTGAAAGCCTTCGGGGGCTTTTACCGTTTTCTTATCACTTGTCATCGACCCCCCCCGAAAGCGTGTTTCCCGCGCTCGTGAGGAAGCTCACGTAGAAAATTCGTGTATGACCATCTTTTTTGCCCCAGTGAACCTCCATCGAATTGATGTGCTCGTCCTTACCAAGCTGGAGTTCCTTCCGCTCTCCACCAGTACCGCCGTGGGTAAAAGTGAGGGGTTTGGGTGCTGAGTTTGTTAGCGTTATACCATCAAGACGCTTACCCGCGTATATAGCGATGGATTTGACGGTTTGGCCTGAATTGACTAAATTTTGGTCTGAAAAGTCTTTTCCGTGATCAGACGCGCCAAATCTCTCGCTTAAGACTATGGAATCTTTCACAGACATTTTTGGGGCTGCTGGGAGTGCTTTATGGTCTGGTGGTGGCGAGGCTTTATGGTCTGGTAGTGGCGAGGCTTTATGGTCTACCAGAGCTGCAGGGCCCGATGTGGAGTCTTCTGCTAAATTTATGAAGTCAATTGATGATCTTTCTTCGGACGGTTCTGCAGAGCCATCTGTAAATGATATGTCATAGTCGTCTTTTGACGGGTCTTTAGCAAACTTCACAGCTTCTTGTCTTGATGTTTCTATAGCTGAGGCTTTCGTAGCCTGCGTTTTAACTAAACCGACAGTGGATGTTAATGTCGAGTCTGCTTCTTCATACCTGGCTGAAGCAGCCGTAGACCCAACTAAAGCACCATCGAAAGATTCTAGTGTATCCGCAGACTCAGCCGAAGTATCAACAGACTCTGCAGCAGATAACCCCTCAGAGAACGCCCCAGTAGCAAAATTGCCGCTTTCCAATGCACTCAAATATTCCGGATCTTCTGTCGAAATACGGGTCCAAATCACCCCCAACCTGTCAATTGTGTTGCTATCCAGACCAAAAAAACCACCAAGCTGAAATCCTTCTGGCGCTTTGACCGTATTATTTCTCTCCGTCATGGACCCGCCAGAGACTGAGTTACCTGCACTTGTTTTAAAGCTGAGGCAGAAAATCTGGGTATGGCCCTCTTTGTGGCCCCAATGCACCTCCATCGACGTGATGTACTCCTCTACACCGAGCTTCAGTACATTTTTCTTCCCGTCACTTCCTCCGTGCATGAATTTTGCTGCCTTCGGGCCTATCACTTTCAAAGAAATACCATTGACAAGTTTTCGATCGATATAAATTGTAATTGAGCCAATGGTTTGCCCCGCACCGACCAAGGTTTCGTCGGAGAAGTCGTTTCCGTGAAATCCTCCAACACTCTCGCTCCGTCGAACGGAATCGTTTGGGCTAGAGAAGACGCTATGAACGACTACAAGGAGCAGGCATAAAAATGTCCAAAACACTTGTAAAATCGTCATGGTTTTGTGACCTCGGGCTTACAAAGCCCGAACTAAAATAAGACAGAACGTTGTGTAATGGTGTTGTCAAGTTCACGTTCGGCTTATATTTGATATTAGCGGAACGTGGAATGCAACATTAGGGTTGGAGTGTTACATTTTCTGCTCGTGCGCAATAGGCGATACTTTTGGTACTACCTTGATTCCGAAACGTAGAGTTTAATTAACGACAGAGAATGGGCAGAACTGGCCCACCGATTGAGAGAGGAGGAAGTGTCAAGTTTTGTTAAGGTGAGCACGTCTGGTTCGTGGGCTGGGGGGGCGATTTAAATTACTGCTGTTAGAGATTCAAGCGATTTGGAACTTTCGATGTGTCAACAATTAAGCCTGCCTTCTACTCTATCAAATATAGCGGTCAAGCTCAAGCCAGTCCAGCCGCAGCCCCTCATTACGGACACTTTACCTTGAGCAGAAACCCTCTCTCGCGGGAGCCGAAGTGGATGGGGTCATGTCTCGGCCATGCATCTCAAGCGGCCACCGGTCGTGCGGACAGCAGACTGGCGGCGTGCTTCGTCAAACGCACAAGTCAGTTTGAAGGACCGCGGTCATAAAGGGGGCAACACCCCACGACACGCGCTGTCGCTCCGGCGACCGCCCGTTTCAGATACCTGAGCGTCCGTGCGGCTTATAAGGGCATAAACAACGGCACACATTTACTGCGATGCTTCATTATCATAGCCGGACAATTTCAAGAGCGTCACCGCAGTGACCAGCCTCGTACAATCACCGGAGCACCGGAGCTGCTAACCAGACTTAGGAACTACTAGACATTCTGCACCCGCTAAAAGGTTAAATAACTCGTCTGCCTTTCTCTACTATCCTTACCCATCTCTTTTTGCGTGCTTCTTGTGCGTGCGTGGACTGCCTGCCGAACGCCACAAGATCGAGCTTCAATCAATCGACATTGTTACATTGTACTTCTTATCCCGATGTGATCCATGAACTCGGCTGCACATTACGGCCAGACATCGCGCAAACGGCGGTAATCCTAGCACGAGTACAAGAACATCTACCGAACCTTCGGTCATCATCGACCAGTTGGTGGGAGGAAAATGACTGGATTTTGCACCTCTCCGAGCCCCTTCCATGGCGGCCTCAAGGGGATGAGATTTGGCCTCAGGAGATAAACGATTTTGGCAGACTTTTCAGTGGAGTGGTAATCCTTGGATTCTCTCACCGCAGGCGCTCGAGCTGTCCCGATCCAAATATAACAGAATTCGTGATGTATCCCTCGAACAAATCCACATCCAGCGGACAGGCCCCCAAGAATTCGTCTTCAGCGGCATTGACACGGATGTCCATGACCCCCGCCATTCGCATGCGAAACTTCGAGAATGGGCGATCATAATTTTACTTTCGTCGCCGCCACTAGACGTGGGAAATCCGGTAGGGTGCCCAAGCCCATTGCGGCTAAGGCAACAGCTACCATTCACGCAAGCCATCTCATGGGTGCTGATCGGGCCAGGCAAGGTTCGAGGCGTTTCACTCTCTGATGAATCTGATCGCCCTTAGAGTTGGGAGCTCACTCAATGCCACGATGGCATAACTTGGGTTTTCGACGGTGCTCCGCCGCTAGTAAAAGGGAAATCGCAGGAACTCACCCAACAAGCGGAGAGCAAGCTCAGCCGACATGGGGTTGTCTTTTTTCCAGCCCACAGATCCACCACTATCCGTGGTCCGCACCGCCTAGGGTCCCCAACCATCGACTATTCACTTTTTTGAAGAAACAAGCTTTTCAGGCGACAAAGCGCGGTCTCGCAGCACCGCTGAAGCAGGTCATCGATCGGCTAGCCACCAAGAGCCAGAATACGCGGTGGCAATGCACAGCTCTAAATGTCACGCCGGCTCAGCTATGGGATCACGGCCATGCGGTAACGGAATACCAGCTATGGACACGATATCGACACGCTACCGGACAGCTAAACTTTTGGTACCAAAACCGACCCCCGGACGGATCATGCACATATTTGGAATGTGTAGGCCAAAAGGAAACCCAGGAGCATCTCTTTTGGGGATGTCCCCGCGCTCAGGCAATCTGGGCCCGGCTTATCAGTCATTGGGAGAGTACACCTCACCATCCTACCCACCGCCTGGATTGGCTCGAACACTGCGCAAACTGTAGCGTACCACGCATCTCGCCGAAGGTCACAGCAAAGCTGTTAGCCCGGTACCCGGAAGACATTGATCTATTCGCCACAGCCTGGAGGACGATTTGGGAAGTCGCAGTGACCGTCATTATCACAATGCTCTGGCAAGTTCGCGTGGATAGGATTTTTAACAATGCGCTTATTCCGATACAAGCCAGTGAAACTTTGATCTGGAATCGGATTCAGCTCCAACTGAGGGCGCTCATCAAACGTCTCCATTGCAGGGCGGCCACAGCCGTCCGTGGAGCCCAACTATCTGCATGTTACGACATATTTATATCAGAACCGAGAGGGCAGTCCGGCGTTCATAGACGTGCTGCCAGCCGTAGGCAATTCCTGGACCCTCCAGCGTTGCTAGTATGGTTAACTACCTACCAGAGATCTTGCACTAATCAGTAAATAGACAATCTGTTCTCTCTCTCTACATTGTACTTCTTCCGCCCATGGCGTCTTCGCGCTTCGACGATCACAAAGTTCAACGGTTCAAGCGGCCATTTAAGGGAATAATACTACGGTTGGTAACGTCTTCGCGCCACGTGTGATGGCTTTGGCGATCCCACCTCAAATCCGACGGTTCGCTCAGGCGGCCAATAAGGGGAGGAAACAACGACTGGCTGCGTCCTTGCGCCACGCAGACACCGCTTCGGTGTCTGCAAATCAGTTCGACGGCTTTTTGCAAGCGGTCATGAAGGGTAAGACTATCAACTCCTAGCAAAGAAAATTGGTCCGATACACGCTTGTCAACTAGCAGCCAGAACGGCATGGTCACTGTAGCCGACAAGAGACATATCCTGGAGTACGACGTAGCTTTGGACTTTTGTAAACCATAAAGGTTATTAGTCAGTCTACTATGCCGTGTCTTTGGTGGTGTCCTAAACAGACTCAGTAGTAGCTAGCCTGGGGATCCCAGTCTTCAAGTTTGTCGTTTCCAATATCTTTAGTACATGATCAAAGCTTATCGTTTTACAATCTTTAGCTTAAGAACCCCATCGTCAAACTTCGATGGCACCTCCCTATCGCAATCGTCATTAGGTTTTGTTATTACCATTTTCAGAAAACAACCTGAATTTGCTAGGAAAATCACCAATTCTCACTCAATCGAAATGCTCGAAACTCGCCGCAAGCTTCTCAATACGGCGCTAGCCGGCAACATGGTGCGTATATAGCTAATGCATTTACAAGTAACACTATGTCCTGGCTGCTTATTGCACTATTTTTAGTCTCGACCCGCGTTTTAGTTGGTCCGCTATTCAACATCCCAGTTAGACGGTCAGAGGTTCTGCTAATGATCTTTTTGATTACTCAATGCTATAGATTCTGTCATGCGCGTTGCTAGTAAATACCATGTTTCTATTAAAGAAGCCTAACGTAGGCTTTGACGCGGCACTTACAGCCAGTGTCTACGTGGTCTTTACTTTCGTTGCTATCGTTATCCTGAACAAGACGCCCTCCGCTTTTTCCGTGAGATTTTCAGCAGATACTACTGCGTTAAGACTGTTATTTACGTGCTGCTGTCAATGTAGATTGGGTTCCTGGTCGGAGTGTCGGTCTTTATTTTAGTGATGGCTTTTCAGGGAGCTCTCTACTGGGTACGTAAGATACTTCGCTGGCTCCGTGATGTCGTTTTTCTCATCCGTTTTGCTGACATTGCTAGGGGTTGGAGACGCACAACAATTCACGACGAACAACTGCGGGCTGTTTGGCTTCTGGTCTCCATGCCGTGATTTTTGCAGTGCAATGTATGGTCACAACTGTTGTGGTTAAGTCTAAGGAAGACGTCATCGACACATACGCGGGTAAAATGAGTGAAGCCAGACTATTTGATACTGTGGTTTCTCATTTGGTGTGGGGTGTGAACAGCGTACGAATACATTCCAGATACGGACTACGCCGACAATGTAATGTTGGCGAACATGCTGCGTTCTACGTCGCCTATCAATTACCAGACGAACATCCCCACCGCTGACATCTGAAACAGAAGAAGGCGTTCTGTGCGTACTTACAGATGATCGTGATCGGGTTAGACGGAATGATCTGGCAGCACGAAAAACATGCCCGGTACACAAAACCATACAAGAGATATTGCACGGAGATGTTGATCAATACTATTTGTCTCGGGCTTGTGACTTGAAGTCTCCACCATCAAGATCTCGCGTCCAATCGAACGGCTCCCAGTCCTTGAGAAACGCCAAAACGTCGTGCTTGTCGTCGTCGAGTGAGCGACGATTACCACCATTGTGACGTCCGTACTTAGGTAGTGTCACATCAAGCATACCTGCCACGACATTCACGCCAAAATCTCGCGGAAATGTGTTTTCATCCTCGATCACGTGAGCATATCCTCCTCGTCCTTCACGAGTACGCCACCCGATGTGAAAGTATGAGAACGTTTGTGGAACTTGACTCGTGATGCCGCCTTTGCTGGTGTCAATGATTGGTTTATGCATGTCCCATTCGCCAGTGGCCTGCATCAGCTCTTGCTTGAAGTAAAGCGGTATATCCAGCGCCAACTGTGAGTCGACAGGAATGCACTCAATCATTGTGTGTCGCTTTCGATTAGGTGCACTTGTTTGCTCGATAAACAGCATACTTGCACCGTAATTCTTCTCGCACATACTGGCAAGTGCACCCTGAAAACAAGTAATTTCTTCCCTTACCTGCTCATCCGCTTGAACAGCAGAGCAAGTGTGATCAATTGGCACAATCAAACAGTGTCGGGGGTGCAATCGAGGTCGATTTGGCACGGCTAGATAAGTGAACTCGCCCAAAGACAGCGTCAAGTGTTTCTTGAAAGCTGGACTCTTCATGCACAGCTGACATTTTTGAGTCCGCTCATCCCACCACTTGGTCTCTTTCACAGCAATTGCGTGCTCGCGCTGAACTTGAGCACGTCGAGTCAAGTTCGAACCAGGTTGTTGCAACATCTTCATGTCCACTTGACCCTCTTCATCAAATCCGCTGGGAAAGTTTTGGGCATTCATTGCAGTCCCCTTGTAACGCGAGCCAAGCCGAACAATATTCCGTGCATGAACAGCATCCATGTTCTCATGTCCGACATGTGCACTAGACAGACGCTCCTCTCGTACAAGCTCCTCCAATGATGCTGCCACGTCCGTACTAATCATGGGATCTGCAAGCTTTTTTTTGCCCTTACGCGACCCATAGCGCATGTCCTCTTTTTCAAGCGGCGGCAACGCACCAATGACGGCCTTGAAGTGTGGAATTGCAGCAGCAGTCTTCTCTCGTTCTAACTTAGCCTCCAATTCGTTGAGCTGTTCTGTCAACTTTCGAAAAAGAGCTGGCTTGCCCATCATTTGAGCTCGCAAAGCTTTAGCTGCCAACTTGTTGAGCACGGCCTTTTCGTCCTCTTCGTTAGCACTGTCATTCGCAAAAAAAGCAGATACAGTAGTTCGTCTAGGCGAAACTGGTACCCTAGCGGTCTCATTTTCAAATGACGTCTGATCAGGCAAGAGCGAGGGTGAAGCATTCGATGCCTCTGGTATTGTGGATGCGTCAGTCTTCTTGTTGCCATACAAAAATGCACTGCGTTTTTTCATCTCAACTTTCTCAGCATTTCCTTCATCCTCGGCACGAGAATGTGCCGTTTTTTTGTGCTCGGTGATTGCAGCTGAGGTTAGCGTTGCGCGCGTCTCAAACTTTGACGAATCATTTTGGTTCTGTCCGTCACAGCCACTTTTGTCCGACAAGTCTAAGTCATGATTGAATGGCGAACAGGAACGATGTCGAGATCTAGAGCCAGATCGTTTTTCCGATCGTGGGCGTTTAACACCATCAGATCGTCCCCTGCTACGACTACGGCTGCGACCACGCTTTTGATGGCAAAACTCACGTTTTCGAATAGCTTTTTTATCGTAATCGCGGGTGCGACTACGAGGACACACAAGTCGGAAAGCATTAGCTCCAGTGCCGCGGTTCTCGAAATCAGGCAACTTGTCGTAATCGATTGGACCATCCTCCTCCCGGTTAGCGCTTCGATTCGTTTGACGCCGACTCTCCTCACGTTTGCTATCACCCTCCACGTTGTGCGCCACAGATCGTTGTACTCGCATCGAGTAGTTTGACAACAGTGCTTTGTCCTTTGCATCTCGTCCAATTTCCAAAGTTTGTCGCTTTCGTGTCATCCTTACCTCATCTTCGTCATCAATCTGATGTCGTTTGTACTGAAGATGAGCATTCTCCCTCGCCGATCCCTTTGCCTCCTCCTTCAATGCACTCACCGACCTAAATCTCTCGTTCACAACTTTTTCCAACGCGACACCTGACGATCGCGCCCGATCGTGCGCTCGTTTTAACATTTTTGCTCGCCAACTGGCTCCTCCATCACCGAATAACGGCATTTCTTCTTCCTCTCCTTTCATCTCTATATCTTTAACTTCTCCTCGTACTATTTTACTAGAAATTGTCGGAGCAGCATGCGGATTCTTTGGGTCATAGAGTCCATAGACCATTCCTGTCACCGGTTCTCTCATCCCGGCGTCAATCTCTTCCTGGATCTTCATCTGTTTGGCTTCATTGTCTAATTCTTCAGCTGTCTTAATGGTTGCAATAGGGTCTGCTTCTGCCTCTAAGTAGGACATAGTCATCCACTCATCTCGTGGTAAAATCGTCTTCTTCTCTTCGAAACGTTCGTCGTCCTCCTTCGTTTCTTCGACTTTTTCGCTGCTAACTTTGTCTTTACATCTGTTCTTGTATTCCTTCTTATGCTTCTTCTCTTTCTTCTTCTCCTTCCTCTTGTGTTTTCTATCGTCGCCCTCCGAGCGCCGCACAAACTTCAGCCCTTGTAGCAACGAGCTCATAGTCCCGAATGGCTCGATAAGAAAACGAGATGCTCATTGGTATAAATAATCTAGACCAATTATCGACATGATGGGCTGATGATTGGTCCGCTAGTAGATTAAGAAAGTATCTTCATCTATATAAACTGTATCTATATATAGGAAATGGCTATTTCCACCACACCAAATCTTTTGCGCATTGTTTACCATTTCTGTAACGGGTAAATAGTTACGCGAGTCCGTTAAGTATATGATACTTAACGGGAGGTCTAAAAGGGTACGTGGTACCTCAGACCTCCCACTTGGATCAATGTGCCCACCCTCGTGAATGTGATATCCAGTGATGGATTCGCATTCGACGGGGATGACCCCTAGTTGGGACTAGACGTCATGGATAACGTCACAGACGGACGTCATTACACGCTTGAATATATTTACGCTCGCAGTTAGGGATACGCGTCTCTTTAGAAGCGTATCTGATCTTTACATGTTAACCAATCAGTAGTAAGATTTATATATTTAAAATATTTTCCATCAAATATAAGTCAGTCTTGAATTTGCTAAACTAGCGCTCACTGCGCACGAAAAGCTGAATAAGCTTCGGCGTGTCGTAAGTAAAGCACTTGTTATAAGTTCGTTGCGCAATTCGCTTAGGCAAGCGGCAATTGTTGTTTGCAGCGCTTCGGCGGTCTACCAAAGACCCCATCACAGCACGCAGAGGTAAGACGGTTACCCGGTTCCTCACGCTGCTTGAAGGTGTGTGCTAGTAGCACGTGGCAGGCTCCTAAAAGTGCCCGTCTACACTTGGTAGCACTAGTATTCCTTTCCACGACCCGCCTTTCTAAACGTGTGTAATGGGTCTACCTATTACATAAGTAGTTATAGGATTAATACATAATTACATAAGTAGGCATAGGGCAGTATCCGATTAGCGGATACTGCGCGTCAATTTATTATTGGTTTATTATTGGGGTGCCAGACCCAATAATTAGCCAATAATAAATTGACTTCCATATTTGAGTGGTTCCCATGAGCTAGGGAACATATTCGCACTTACTGCGAATTAAATCTAAAACAAAAATAAAACAGAGTTATATTTACGAGTTCATTTAGAGCACTTCCTCAAGGCCCTTTTAGTGTAAGACGGTAACGGATCCTTAGCCCGTTACACCTGGTAGCACTTCGTAGTCCTTCCAATGACCAGATTCGAGATGAACATGGGCGAGTCTTCGGTGGCTCCAGCGGTCTCGCTGGAGCATTTTGATTTCCCACATCTCCCCTCGGTGGAGTGGCAGGCACTACATCGCCTCGCGGCGGTGTCTGGTGAAACTATTGTGACGTCGCTGCTGAGCACAGCGACGCCTGATGATCAACGTGCCGCCATCCAAGACTTTATGGTGCGCGAGCTCGCCGAAGCGAATCGACGAGTATTGACTCCCTCGCGCACTTCGCACCATGACGCTATCAAGATGGAGACGTCAGCGTACTCCGGTGATGGTCCGGATCGTCTCCCCCTCAATCGCTGGTTTCGCGAGGTGGATATTGCAATAGCGTCAAGATTAATTGACGCTCCGACGGCCAAGGTCAATTTCCTGTTGTCTCGTCTTGCCGGCAAAGCCAAGGAATGGGCCCTCGGAAAGCTCGTCGTAGATAAGTCGGCGTTTCCTACGCTGGACGATATCCAGCGTGACTTACGACTGGCTTTCGAGCCTCCTCAAGATGAATCTCGCTTGCGTGCAGATTTCTTCTCACTTAGACAGGTCAAGCTGTCGATGCGTGACTACGTGCAGAAGACACGTCATCTTGCTTCGTGCATTACCACTCAGCCAATTGACATGGCTTCACAAGTCCATGTCTTTATCTTTTGTATGCAGGAGGGCATGACGCGTTACTGCCTCACACGTGCTGAGCCAAAGTCCCTCGAGGTGACATTTGCCCTCGCACTTCGTGAGGATTACACTGTCGCGTCGTCGTACATGCACGCAGCGTCACAACATTCTCGGATGTCTGGCCCAGAGCCAATGGAAATTGATGCAATTGAGTCCTCTCGTGGTCGCGGCAAATCATTAAGCCGCGACATTCGAAATCCTAACACGATGAAGTGTTTTCGCTGTGGTAAAACAGGCCATCGTGCGGCTGTCTGTCGTGCACCTGCGCCGGTGACGATGAACACAGCTGTCTCACGAGGAGACGCTCTGTCGTCGGTGGTCCCGCCAAAAAACGAGCGGTTCCAGTAGGCGTGGGGCGCCCTACTGGCTGAAATGGAGCCCCGAGTACTCAGGGGGCAGCTCGGGCTCCTAGCCCCAAAGTGATTCATACCCACTTCAATGCCACCACCATGCGCGATGATTCGAGACTGATTATTATCAGTCTCATCGTCGCTGGAGTGAAGCGACCACTTCGAGCGTTGTTGGAATCTGGCGCTTCCAACAACTTCTTTCGTGCATCCTGTTTGTCCCTTCTCCCGTCGACTGTCACGGTTCGAGAAGGTCCAGGTGACATCGTTGTCAAACTTGCCGATGGACAATCAAAACGTGTCCCGCGTAAAACAGTGGTTTTGCCGTACACTTTCGACGGTTTCCAGAGCAACGACGAATTTTTGGTGTACGAGATGAACTATGCATTTGATTGCATACTTGGGAAACCGTGGCTGTCACGGTATCAGCCGAAGATAGATTGGCTATCTCGGTCCGTCAAACGACGAAGCGGTTATGACGTCAGTGAAGTGTTTACTCATTTGTTGGTCGCTCCATCCGATTGGCCTCACGTCAGGGTCGTGAACGAACTCGCCACGACTCGTAGTCAACACAGAGAGAGCGATGACTCTCTGTGCGCAGTATGTTCCGTTACACTGACGGAGCCACAGAACGAAGCGGTCGAACAGCGGTTCCCGCATACACAGACATCGGTCGAACAGGGGTTCCCGATGCACAACGAGGCGGTCGAACAGCGGTTCCCGCACACACAGACATCGGTCGAACAGGGGTTCCCGATTCACAACGAGGCGGTTAACCAGCGGTTCCCGCACACACAGACATCGGTCGAACAGGGGTTCCCGATTCTAAACGAGGCGGTCGAGCAGGGGCTCCCGCATACAAGCACATCGGACGAGCAGCGGCTCCCGATCAATTTCGCGGCGGTTGAGCAGGGGCTCCCGCATACAAGCACATCGGACGAGCAGAGGCTCCCGATCATTTTAGAGGCGGTCGAGCAGGGGCTCCCGCGTACAAGTACATCGGACGAGCAGAGGCTCCCGATAAATATCGAGGCGGTCGAGCAGGGGCTCCCGCATACAAGCACATCGGACGAGCAGAGGCTCCCGATCAATTTCGAGGCGGTCGAGCAGGGGCTCCCGCGTACAAGTACATCGGACGAGCAGAGGCTCCCGATAAATATCGAGGCGGTCGAGCAGGGGCTCCCGCAAACAAGTGAAGCGTTAGAAGACGAGCTCCCGCTTTTGATTGACGAGAATGGGCGGACTACGGATCCGCATGAGACCGACGTGGTGGAGACAGAGCTCCCACGTCTAGAGGGGGGGGGGTACATCATCCTCTTGTGATAGCGACGTGCCAGTCTCGAGCAGGGGCTCGAGACGCAAGAGAAAACGCAAGAAAAGAGCACGCCGATCACCGAGACGACGAAATTCACGTCAAGATGCTGATGCATTTTAATCCGTAGTGACGGAATCCGTATGCGCGCTTGAATATGTGGAGGGATCCCCACATCGTGGCCGCTACATTGAGGTATACAGTCCACCGTGCACTGCTGCAGATATCACATCTCTGCCAGACCTTACATGGAAAGACTTCCTTCATGACCTCAAGGTCGGCGACATCGAGCAAGTGTACATCGTTTCAGCCACCGAAGCAGCCAGTGCAGAGGTTCTGGAGGCTCGCCCGAAGAGCGCCGAGCCTAAATCAGCGCGCGAAGAACGCTTCGCGGCACAGTCTTGGGATGCTCTTCGTGCTTCGGGCAACCCTGTATACGATATCGCCCGTGAGTACGCCGACATTTTCCCGGAGAAAATTCCAGCTGAGCTTCCGGCGGATCGTGGTGTGCGGCACGAGATAGATCTCGTGCCAGGATCGAAATATTGCGTGACACGGCAGTGGCCGTTACCGCGCGACCAAGTCATCGCTATTGATGAATTTTTTTAGGGTCGCCGCAAGGCTGGCCATGTCCGCGAGAGTATCTCGCCCCATTCGAGTCCAACTTTCTGTGTGAAGAAAGCCACCGGCGGTTGGCGCATTGTGCACGCCTTCAACAAGCTGAATGACGCCACGATACCGGCTCAAACGCCTATCCCTCGAAAAGACATGGTATTAAATACCATGTCCGGGAGAGAGATCTTCAGCGCCATAGATCTGACAGACGGTTTCTATCAAATCCTCATGAGGGACAGTGACATTCCGTTCACTGCGGTCAGCACCCCAAGCGGGATGCTTTGGGAGTGGCTAGTCATGCCACAAGGCCTTAAGAATGCTCCAGCTACGTTCAATCGGACGGTGACACAAGTACTTCGCCCACTTCGCGACTTTGCACCGAGCTACTTTGACGACATTTTCGTTCACAGCCGCGCTGAGCAAAAGCTCAGCGCTACGGAGGTACACCTTCGACACTTGAAGCAGGTGTTTCAAGTTATGCGAGAGAATAAATTGTATGCGAATTTGAAGAAATGTGTCTTCTGCACTCCCGAGATTCCAGTACTCGATTGCTACGTCAGCAAGGGAGGTGTCGTCGCTAATCCTGAGAAGATCTCATCGATATGTTCCTGGCCAACGCCCAGGAACCAAACTGAATTACGTCAATGGCTCGGTCTGGCGAATTACTTGCATAAGTATACGAAGAACTATGCTGAGCTAATTCAGCCATTATCGACTTTGCTCAAGAAAGATGCAGTATGGTTATGGACGGCAGAACATCAATCTGCCTTCGACTCCGTAAAGAAGAGCTTGTCCGAGGCACCGGTGCTGATGTTACCTGATGACTCTAAGCCATTCCACGTCGTGTGTGACGCGAGC